GGGGGGCAGCAAAAATGAAGCTTTTCAATACAATATTCCTGGTTTCCATAGTTGTGTGATGAAAGAAAAGCTCAAGCAAGCCGAGTACAAGTATGCTAATAATAATAATAGAACTATGGCTGAGAACGCCAACGGGTAAAAGTCATTAATCCGACACCAAAATGGCAAATACAAACAATCTGAGTGTTTGTTTATAAATGAAGACTTACCTTCAACTTCCTCGGAAGCAATTGCGCATCTTATCACTGCAGAGAGCTGCCCTATCTGTAACAAAACATTACAACTCGTTAAAAACTCTCCCAAAAGCGACTTTTCACAACTATTACACCCTTAACTGAAGGTTCAATTTTGTATTTTTGACAGACAGCAAAGGTACAAAGAGAATATTGATTAACGTCTATTATGCTATGAAGTTTTATATCTCTTGATGACGTGACCAGATTATACTGAATCTATTCTTGGGAGTGGGAAGCAAAATGAAACGTTAAATTTGTGACTTCGATGTTTCAGTCCATCACGGATATTTTTTCAAGGCATCATAGCCAATCATTAATTGTCTGATTGTGTATAGTACAATTCAATACTCATTTATTCAAATATTGTTATTAAGAATAATAAAGAGGAAATTACGATTTATTTTTCAACACCTTTGTGCCATTCTTCACTTAAATCAGACAAGGCATCATCAGGGGCAAGATAATTAAGGAATAGGAGTAGGAGGAATTTTCTAGTTAATCTTTTCTACGGGTCCAATAGAAATAAAAAGTAAAATTGGCATGCATCAATCTTTGATGATAGTGAAATGATGTGCATCTAGCTAGTTGTGAGTAAAAAAATTTTTTTTGAATTGTATACTTTGACACTTGATCATCTTAAAATACATCTTAAAATTTGGGATTCTGATGAAATTTATTTTGCTGCTGAATAGTTATTGAATGAATCCAAGTCTTAAATGACATATCACAAAAAAAAGTATTAAGCAATTCCAAGAATGCAATATAAATGTTTTTTAGTCAAATTTGATAGGAAAACGTTATTTTTACTATAATTGCTGAAAATTAAGAAGAAATAATTTAGAGAGCATTTCCGAAACAATTGAATAAAAAATTAGAGCGAAAAATGAATGTCTGATGATAATGTTTTTAAATTAAAATTCGTTAAAAATGATCTTTTGACAAATCGCTAGAGACACATTATTTCACAATCCCCAATGCTTATTATGCATGCCAATTTTATTTTTAATATCCATGTGACCCTTGGAAATGATTACCTAGAAATAGGTACAGCCATCCTAACAGTAGTAAATGTTTACTAACTTTAAGCAGTATTTTTTAAATTTTTTAAGCAGTGTTTTTTATTCTGTTATGATATTCTGTTTTGAACATTCATCAGATTTATTTTATTATTGTGCAACAAGATTGTTTTCGGGAAATTGGAATCACATAAAAAAATGTCGGTATGTTGTTATTCAAGAGAATGGGCTTTCGGATATTTGAATTTCGATTTTTGTACGAGAATCACAACTCGGATGAACGAAATTTCTCACTATATATTCAGTGACAAAAAGTGTTTGTTTTACCCCTCTACGTACCCAAAATATTTCTAGATTTCATTCTGAGATATTCTATTTTAAATGACATCCATGTGATTCCTTCCCTCAAACATCAATTGCTTGAGCT